TGTAACAGGCTTGAAGACTGAAAGAACCTCCCACTTTCAGAGTGTGACAACACGAGGTGATCCACCAACTTATGCAGATGTAGTAAGAGGGGATGTTCCTGTCCTGGACGTTCCACCAGAGGCCTCTGCAGAAGAGTTACTAAAGAGTTTCCAACAGACATGGGCAGAGAGTGAAAACGTCTTCAAAAATCTGGGCTTCACTGTGTCTGAACAGCACAGATCACAGACTGTTTCACACCAGCACCAGACTCTTGTCACCGGTAAACCTATGGGATGAGCATGGAAAAGTTAACAAAGAGTACAGTGTGATGACTAAAACCGTGATGGTGTGTTTGCGCTTGACAAATATTTATTGTGCCTGTATTTTAATTTAGATCTAATAGTTTGAGTTAATAATGGAGTGCTGCTGAACTGGATATCACAGTCAAAGTGAATATGATTAATGTTTTGTGAACTGAATATCTGAAGTATTGCCCTTTAGATTTTATGAGACTGTGCTGAGGTCCAGATGAAATGTGTGCAGTTTTATTTAACCTCCCTAAATGCATGTGGTACTTAAATATTTTAATTCCAGCAACTATACTAACAACTTTTTGATTCATTTTCTTAACTCATTAACATTTTTACACATACACTGCCCAGCCAAAAGCAGCAAGATACAAGATTCACCAAAAAATGATGCACCTTTTTACCATTTGATGGAAATAAATGATATGATGTTATTTCCATCAAGAGGTGCGTCAAGTATTGACTCTGCATCAAGTATTGGCAATGCACAATGCACTTGAGCACTCTGTAAAGTTTACTCCAGCACATTACAAAGACTTTCAGTGAATTTAAGGTCTGGACATTGTCATCCTAGAATATGATGTGCCATGATGCGTCTTCCAATGTGGTTGTTTATGAAATGAAAAGATACACACTCCATCAACTGGGATTGGAAGAACTGTTTTCCAACATATAACATGCCAGAAACATAGTAATCACTGCAATAATGAACCAATCATTAACCTTAAGCATTTGCCTAATCCAAACAGTGACTTTTGTTTTGGTGGGGCAGTGTACAGTATACATACGTATGTGTTGACAGATTTAAAAGCATTTTCTGATGTCAGTCTCTCTCTCCAACAGAAAATACGGGTGCCAGAGTCCGAACTGTGTCAGGCATGTCGGAAGAGGGTGTATCCCATGGAGTCTCTCATAGCAGACAAGCAAAACTTCCATAAAAGCTGTTTTAGATGTGCCCACTGCAGTAGCCAGCTCAGGTAGTGGCTTCAATTTGTACATTAATCCTAGATGTTTTTCCCCATTTTAATGTGTTACAGCATGGAACAGGCAAGTGAGAAGATGTTCTTGGTGAAATGCACCATGATTTGCAACTTGATTTGAATAATTGTTATTTAAAATGATTACAACATTGGCAAGAATGTTTGTATATGAATATGTGAGTTGTTCTTGTAATGTCAGAATACAATATACATTGATCTAGTTCTTAATATTTGTGGTTATATTTCTGCTTCAGTCTTGGAACCTACGCTTCTCTCCATGGACGAATGTACTGCAAGCCACACTACAAACAACTTTTCAAGTCTAAAGGCAACTATGATGAAGGGTTTGGAGAAAGGCCCCACAAAGAACTTTGGAGTACAAAGAATCAGAACAATTTGCCAGAAACAACTAACATGAAAAACAATCCTCCTGTTAAAGTAACTCACAGCCCACAAGAAAATGACCCCAACACCACAGAGAATATGACTCAAGCAAAGGTGAATGATGACATAAAGAAGCAAGCAAATAAAATGGCAGTTGTGTGGCCACCCCTCTGTGATTCCCCAAAGAAGCCATTTCATTTAGAGGAAGAAATAAAGGTAGTCAAACCTGTCTGGCCTCCTCAAGCTGAATCAGAACATTCAGGTAAAGAGGATAATGATCCAGAAGTAAATAAGAGGCAAACCAAAATTACTAGTGGAAACCCAGCAGAAAATGGGCCCAAAGAAAATGATGGAGGGCTTGTGTCACCGATAAATATGCCAGAAAAGTCATCTACAGATGCTGAAATAACTCAAAAGTCAGAGGAGCTGACACCAAACACTGAAACAGCTGGGGCAGAGGATCCCAGTGAAACGGGCAAAGCCATTGAGCCCTCAAACGAAAGCCAGCAGACCACAGAGCAACAAGATAATGAGGTAATGAAGGCAAAAGAAGGAAGGGAGATGAATGGTCAACAAGAAGAGGAAATGGAGAATGGAGTTGCAGAAAGAACTGAGAATGTGAACGCAGATGAGGAGAGTGACGATGCAAAAAACACTGATGAAAATAGTGCTAAGGAAAGTGAAAAGAAAGTGCAAGTAAATGAGGGAGAAGAGGTAACAGTGACAGTGATAGATGGTGAAATACCAAATGGCCAAACAGCCAATGGCAATGCAAACAATAACAACAACAACAACAACAGTAACCTATTATTGGACAACAAGTCCAGTTTGCCAGGAATGAATGAAATTAAAGAAAAACCAGACCTGCTGGACTTGTCCTCCTCAGGGGCACGTTCTTCTCAGGAATCCTTTAAAGAAGAGGTCAACAGTGAGATCAGGGCTTCTGACATTTTCCAACAGCTTCAAGAGGACAGCTCTGTCATATCATGTGCCAAATCTTCCCAAGACATGAAAGAGGCAGATCAAGATCATCCCACTACCAAAACACTGGTTTGCACAGAGACAGATGACAACAATAAAAGTAGTGCCTCACATTTCCTAGATGACATATTTGCAGGTTTTGATGACAGTTCTAGTTTGCTTCATGAATTTAAGGATGACATTTATAGCAAGGAATCAGCTTCATCTCAGCTGGATGACCTTCTGGATTTTGGAATAGAATCAAAGGGGGAGATGGGCCAACATACTGAGGCGGAAACGAGGAAGAATCCACTCGATAAAAATGACACCAAAGCTGCTGGGCTGCTGAGTGAAGCCAGTGGCCTCTGGCAGGATGAAAAGGACTTCTTGTCCATTGAGGATCAAATTAAACAGAACCGATATTATGATGATGACTGATGGGGGAAGGGGGGGATGAACACTGTTTAATCTGCCATACACTCATTTATACACAATCAAAGTTTCTGTTAACATCCCTTAGAACAGTCCCAAAGCTCTGTTCATGGAGAGATGAATGTTAGCATGCTTGTATTGTATTTTATACTCAGCTCGCAGCAGACAGCACATTTAACTGCATTCAGATCATTTTTAAAAGCTTTATTGAAAGCACCTGGTGTGCAATACAACTTTGGTAAATATGATTTTGATTCTTTTTGTCTTTGCTGTAAACATTTAATTCAGAATTCATATATATTTTCCTGTGTCTGTGTTTGCAGATACTGTTTAACTTTCTTTATAGAACATTTATAGGGGGTTATGATTTCTGCTTTTGTTTGAAAGAATTTTTGACCGGTTGTTTGTCTTACGGTGGTTAGGACTAATTTTTTCCATTATACTGCTAGTGCTAATGCATTGACAATGAATAAAAAACATGTTTCTGGAATTATCAGAATTATCTTTTTTTTTTTTTCATCAGCATAATGTTCTGTATTTTTCATATGAAATATCCATGTAGGCTAGTCAAAGATCATTATCAGAAGTTTTTTTTTTTTTGTAAATGAGTCACCTATCCAAAAATAGTTGAGCAGGCATTAAAATTAAAAGCTGAGGCTAATTATTTTACAAGATAACGCTTTATAATTAAGCAAACTCTGGCAAGCTTTAGAAGATTTCAGTGAATAGAGTGCATTAGTGCCCTCCAACCTTTTCAGCTGTATTGGTTCCGGAAGATTTCTTCCATTCATTTGCCATAAAGATTTCAAAAAAGTCTTTGTTGAAGCGTTTTAAGCCATGACTCAAGCCAGCAGTGATGTGAATCACAACAAAATTTGATTCGAAGCAAAAACCTGTCTACAGAGGTTTAAGGATTGTTCAAAAACATTTTTGAAAATGGGACAAAAATACAAAAGGTACAAGACTGAGCACTTAGCGGCTTTATTGAGGTAAAGAACTACAATCCCATGAAGCATTGCAAACAGCATAATCAAATTAAAAACAGTGGAGAAAAATACTCCTCAGTCCCATAGACAGCTCAGTCTTCATTTCCCTTGCATTCTAAAGGGGGTGGAGCTGAGACGAGAGAAAAGGAAGCGAGGATGCCCAAATAAAAAATGAGAAGCACCCGACTACAATGATGACATTAATCAATATGCTTCTTGCAATATGCTACTTCAACCAAAAATGAGAACTGTGTTCCAACCCTGTGTGAATTTTTATTTTGCTGAACACAAAAGAAGTTAATTTGAAAAATATCAGTGTCCAAGCAGATGATGGACCCCATTGACTTTCATAGTAATTTGTTTTTCCATATGGCCACTAATTGTTTTGTTACCCATATAGTCTACTTCTAAATGACTTATTTTGTGTTTAGCAAAAGAAAAGAAATTCATACAATTTTGGAACAACTTGATGGTAGGTAAAGGATGACACCATTTTAATTTTGGGTGAAAAATCCCTTTAAATGAAATTGAGTTAGGCTATTTACCTCAGTGTCCACCGATGGCCATTTGGAAATGTAGAGAGTTAATCATATCTATAGTCTTTGACTTAATCCACATCATCCACTTCTTTAAAAGGGATAAAATACAACTTGTGTACATTACAAAAGCACAGAAAAGTCTGGAAAAAAATGACGGGCGTAACGAATTGGCCAGGTTTTTAAAAGCAGCTATGATTATAGATATAATTTTACATTTTTACAAATACGTGCAATAGGGTAGCCTAATTGTCATTTAACTTTAATATATTAATTGGCTACATAAGCGTAAGTGTTATCTGTAACTTAACAGAAAGGTAAATTAATTCAGTTATCAGCCTTGCTTTATCAAAGGCACTCGTCATCTTCAGCTGGTGTCTTTTGTCGAGAGAGGCTGCAGTAGTTATGAAGAGAGGGTGTAGGTTGGTCAATTGAGCAGTACCGGTTGGCTGGCACTGGTTCGCCTCTTGTGGGCTGCTGATTGGACAGCGCTCCATAACCCGATGCAGCGCACCACCACCTCGCAACCATTCGACCGCTCGCTTGTTCACTACACAGTCCATTCGCTTTGTGCTTTGCAGACAAATGGCTGTATTTCACCAAGGCAGATAATCTGACCGAAAAGGTAGGTTGCCTCACATTGCCACGTTTTAGTTTACCGAGTGTGTCGAGCTGCGTTTGTAGAGCGTCCTTTTCTTTAAGGTGAGAGGAGCAGCGCTATAATGATCATGTGATGTTATTTTTGTGGGTATGGGTGAAAGGAGCGATGCACAAAGCTTCCTCTGCGTGTATTTTGTGATCTGTTATCCAGAGACCAGCATACATCCTTTTGCATTCGTAAATATTATAAAATTGTTATGTTGCTAATATAAATCACCAGCATGCAGTCCAAAAGAGACTATTATTATAGCCTAGATGCTATATCTACATACATGCATACATATAGCCTATATATACACACACACAGGGCCTTCTAACAAGGCTACTATCTATTTAGTATTTATTTAGTTATATATATATATATATATATATATATATATATATATATATATATAAATAACTAGCCTACTTGTTCCTTTGCTACTTTTACCCTAGTGGTGACTGTTCAGTTGTCACTGTTAACTACTGCCAAATGATTTCGATTATTATTATCTATTTTGACAACTACTGACTAGAGCCTAACTATTGCAATTGTTGCTGATACAGTTCCAGGTTTACTAGTAATTATCTACTTTTACTACTAATTATCTACTAACTACTTCATCTTTAGATTGGATCATAGTTAAAAACAAGTGCATCACATCTGTTAAATTCACTGTTGATTTCAAACCTACAAAATTGTCTCTGAATTAAAATGTATTAACATTTTTCCACATAAAATAAAAAAAAAACTTCTTTATCATAGACTGTTGCATTGATGATGTATTTTTGTAGGCCAACCCAGAAGTCTGGTTCCCTCGACCAAAACCCATAGCATTTTTTTTCTTTGGCTTTTGGACAATGACAAAGTAAGCTCTAATTCTTGCACAGTTTGTTCATCATGATAATCCTCACAAATATGATTTTTGAATCTTAAATACAAGAAGCAAAAAGCTAAACATAGGCCATATGATTTACACCACTGTTCCTACAACTTTTTCAGTCTCTTTTTTTTTAGTTTACCTGAAAGTGTGTGTTTCTGAACACAATACATAAACCACTGTATTTCATCAAAACTTACATATGGTTTAACCCTGTGAAAAGTGTTTTTTTTTATTTGATGAGGATTTAAAAGGATAGTTTACCTTACTCAAAAATGGAAATTCTGTCATCATTTTACTCACCCTCATGTGTCATCAAACCTCAAAAAATGTTTTTGAAATTGGTTCCACTTTTGTTTCACAGAAGAAAGAAAGTTTTTAATGAGACGAGGGTGAGTAACTATCTCTTTAAATCTTTGCTGTAGATCTCAGGGCGAGGTCTGCATAGGAAAGCAACACATTGTCAATAGTATAATCAATATTGTGAAGACAGTTTTGTGTTCAAATGAGATCTACACCCCTGCATGCAGTGTCTGGAGGCCATATTTACATTTCAGATGCTGAGGTTTTTGTGTGACACTAGGTAGCTTTTTGAAATGGGAGCTTCTATGCATCACATTGTGCAGTTTGAATGGAGGCCATTCTACAGATTTATAGAGTAGAGAGATTATATATTCACGAGGCTGTTGGCATGTGTTTTTTAACGATGATTTGGGTGGTTGACTGTGACATGCTTTTGATTAAGTGCTTTGGGGATTAATTCTGTTGAGCTATCAAGAAACTTTTGTGGATACTTTAAAGTTGTACTGTTGCTATTTTAAGGTGTCTCATCCCTGTATGCTGGGATGACATGACATTTCAAAAGGTATCTGAGAGCATGACTTAAGTTTGGCTTTTACAGTAAATATTTAGCGCCCTTATAGCGTATATCCCTCACCCTGAGGCCCTGATGTAGCACATCTGTCTGAGCACCTAATGTCTTTTTTGATTGCAATGCACATTTATTGCAAAATGATTTAATGCATTCAATATAGAGAGTGAGTGAAATTCAAATTACACTTTCTCCATGTTAATCACATCTGTCAGTGTGTTTTTACTTTTATAGTGATATTTTATAGTTATTGTGAAGTGAAAGGTATAAATTCCCATGTATTTTCCCTGACTTTCTCTTGCTGATGAATAAGTATACTGCAGAACTGGCAATAACGTGTGTACGTGTGTGTGTGTGTGTGTGTGTCTGTTCTATCTAAATTGAGCAGCTTCTCTCAGAGCTAAGGGAGAACAAACCCACTTGCGTACCAATTACATTTTCTTGTTTAAGCATTTCTTATCCACATAAATATTTAAATAGTTGAGACCATCTTATTTCTAAAGTGCAGTTGAAGCAGTTTATATCAAAGCATTTAATGGAACCCAACTGGCTACCAATAATGTAAAATACATTCATCAGTATTGAGACAGAAAGTGCTTCTGACCATGTTTGTCGCCTGCTAAGATGCGTTGATTCATTGCCTATTAATGATTTTACATTTAGCAGAGCTCAAGTTTGTTACATTGCAAAAAATGTACTTGTTGACTTTATAGGGCTAATGTGTTAATTTCCATTTTTTTTATTCTCTGAGGTCATTGTATATTATTTACTAACAATATGCTAGTATTGCATATTGCTAGCTAGTATTAACTTTGTATTTAAAGCTGCAGTCCGTAGCTTTTTTGGGGTTAAAAATTATCTAAAATACATATTTGATAATTGCCTGAAAAACCTCCTCATGCGAGCGTAAATTTTTTTTTTGCGATTTATCCAATAGACTCCCATTCATTTTACACTCCGACGATCGCCCCCAGTGGAAATCTGGTGGAACTACAACCAAAATTCAGTCCAATAAGACTTAATTGGGAGTTGCCAAGCTTTCTGTAGATGGGCTTTGCTGGTAACTATGTAAACATTAAATTATGTCCCTTTGTAACATGCATTTTTAGAAGGGTTTTCTAGAGTATGTGATTGCTATATCATTTTATATAATTTATTTATATATATATAAGTATTATGTTTTTATTTGTTTATTTTGAATTGACAATATGAGTGTATGGGGGGGGGAAGATGACAGCCATTGTGTTGAAGCCAGTGCCAGGAAGGATGCATACTGCCTCAAGATTATTAGTCAGAGTATCAGTTTCCAGCATCTGTTTATAGATCAGTAAATCACGGAAAGCCTTACGTTAGCAAACACAATTATACACATGACAAGTATGCAGCCATTGAACTGAGAAATATGGTTTAGTCACTGGCAGACATTATTTAATTTCATTCATAACAGACAGAGTCAGTCAGACCAAGAGACCAAGACAATATTGACTGTTTTTTTTTGTATGTTTTTTTTTTATTATAAAAAAAACAATAATACATAATATTTGCCAGTGAAGTAAGAAAAACATATATTCAGTTACATTTTTATTGATTTTAAGATTTGAAAATGATTATATATATATTTTACTTATGCTTATATTTTACTTATATGCTTAATATAGTGGTAGCAGTATTGGTCAGTGGAAGCTGACTCAATATGTGAATTAAATTATGTCTGCTAGAGTCTAAAACATAATCCCCATCCATCAGTTTTCAGCTGCCTGTCTTGTGATTTGCCCATAATATGAAGTGTCTAAATGTAAATGTCTAGTTTGTATTTAGTAAAAGTTGGTTATGCTGCTATGACCCAAAACATATCCAGAATATAGGCTACTTTATATAGCTAAGAAAACAAAATATATCTTTCTTCAGTATCTCTTTCAAAATTTGAAAATTTGGTAATCATTTATTCATTCTCATCACCATGTCATTCAACCTCCCATGGCTCTTTCTGCCATGGAAAGAATTTTGAAAAATGTCCTGGACACTATTCCATACAATGAAAGAAATTGGAAAATCGGGTGATTGTGTTCCTGTCAGGTCTGTTATGGTTGTTGGTTCACTGTCATGTTTTCGTCATGTTTCTTCAGAGTAGGAATAGGATACATTATCTAATAATTCTATCTTGATATATGCATAGAACAAAATGCAACACCAGTAATAACACATACACACAATGTCCTGGGATGCATGTTCATTTATAAATCAGTTTGTCTATAAATTAATGCAGGAAAGTCTGTTTTAAGGACTATGGTTCTTTTCTAGTATGGCCTGATTCAAATGACTTGAGCTCTGCATTCTTTTAAGACATAAAACCATGGCAACTAGAGCCTGCTGCTTCTATTACTTTGTAAGAGGGGATTGTAACAGACATCTTGTTTTGTGGTCGGTGAGGGTTTTTAAAGATTTGTTAAATATAACAAGTACTTGTGTCTGATTTGTCTCAGTCGGTTTAGGTGCTTAGTGGAATTTAAAGGAGTGCTTAAGGAATGATTGATTAAGTGAAGTCGGTAACTGACTGGGCAGCAAAGCAGACAGAAAGTCACACTTTATGAGTTTAGAATGACTTAAGAGTTAAATTGTTGGGTGAACTATCTATTTAAAAATGAAGGAGAACAAAATTACCAATTGATTGATCAGTCGGCCCATTCTCTTCTGACCTCTAGCATTAATAACGCATTTTCGCCCACATGACTGCCGCATACTGGATGTTTTTCCCTTTTCACTGCATTCTTTAACTGAGCAACTGAGATTGTGAAATTCTCAGACTCAGTGTAATTATTTAAAGACTGATTTAATGTTTAAATGTACTTTAAAACTTTTCATTTGACGTTATAAAAATTATTTTCTTTTAAACTGTACTTAAGCATGAAGTCATGAAAGTATATTCTCTTTAAATAAATTTAAGTGCCATTTTATTTCATCAATATTCAATTTTCTGTAATCACATTTTAAAAAAAAATACGTTTATGATTTGAGGTACACTCGATGTGCACGTTCAATACAATAAGCACACTTTTTTTCACAAGGACACATGCAGACGAAATGGTTAATGACCCAGAAATAATTTCATGCATATGCAAATTTGGTGCGAGAGAGAGAGACACTAACATGCACAATGGGTTTTCATATTTTATAGGGGGACTTTCCATACACAATGGTTTCTATACAGTACAAACTTTATATCCCATAAACCCACCATTTACAGAAAATGTTCTGTATTTTTACATTTTCAAAAACATCACCTTATATGATTTATAAGCTGTTTTACCCATGGGGACCAAAAAATGTCCCCATAAGGATTTTGAATATTGCCATCCTTGTGGGAATGTTATGAATTTTCTACATGCACACACAGACAGACACACACACAGACAGACAGGAAGTACAGACTTGCTAAATCAGTATGTAATGTCACTTCAGCAGTTGTTCTTTAACTGTACTGTACTGTGGCATTTGCAGCATTGGCATGTATCTGACCTTTTTGAAGAGAAAGGACAAGGAGGCCATTGGTCTAATGCAAAGAAGGGGGAATCGAGATGAAGAAAATAGGGCCTGCAAGAGTCTCCACTATACTTATTTTTAGGACCAAACCCCATCATTCTATCCATCAATCAACAAATCTCTTTTGTTATTAATATTTTGAAAGATGATTACATTTTAAAATAATTTTGTATTTTTTTTTTTATATTTTAAATTGTAATTTATTTCTGTGGTGGCAAAGCTGAATTTTAAGTGGCCAAAACAAATATGTGGTTCATTTTGTCTCATTGTTTGTCCCCGGACTTTTATCTTACTTCCTGTTCTGAGTGCCATGTTTGTAGTTTGTTGTAGTTTTTCTCGTGATTAGTCCCTGATTGTTCCCTGGTGTGTCTTGTTAGCTTGTTACCCTCTGTGTGCTTCCTCTGTTCTTTGTTGGTTGTTGTTCTTCCATGAATGTCGTTTGAACTATAGTTTTCTGTAGCATTGCATGGACACTAATTTAATGTATCATTATGTATGCATCATGTGATGTGTGTTTGTTTGTTTGTTTTTTCCCACAAAAACCTGCTGTTATAACAGGGCTGTTATTTGCATGGTATGTTAAGTTATATTTAATAATTTGGCAGACTTCTTTATCCAAAGTGACTTAAATTGTGTACCCTTTTTCAAATATTTTATTTATTTACACAAGGTGGAAGAAACGCTTCAGTCTGAATTGCAGAATATCTATAGTATGTGTGCCACCGGGTTATCATTACCTGGAACTAAACTCATTAAAAAAATATTACTTGAAATAAAATATGGATTAACTGAAAATATGAAAAAGTAAACTATTTTTTTTCAGCTATTTTGTTTAGTTTATGTTGTTAACTGAAACAAAACACTAAAACTTATTAAAACAGAAAATAAAATCGAATTCAGAATATTAAGAAAAACTACAATAGTACTGTACAATATCTATGATACTAAAGTAACATTGGTGTGGCAAATTATGCTTGATGTCTTTTGTGCCAGAAAAGATGCTTTATTACTGACTGACACAGAAAACATAGCAGTGGCCCAGTCTCTCTGGTGTCTAACCAAGGTTAATCGAGGTTCATAAAAACATAAAACAGGCCAGAAAAAAAAGGATGCGTCTCTTTTCACTCCCAAGTGAGGTTGAGAGGGAGCGGACGAGCTCGCAAATCACCTCTGGCTCTGCTGTTGGAATCCTTCCCAGACAATTGCTGCTGATGTTGTTGTTTGTTTGTTGTCTTTTGTGTTTTCAGGTGCATAATATCTGCTGATGTGCAATTTTGTAATGGAGACAGATAGATCTTTTTATCAGGTCTGCCTTTAGTTTACACTTACACCGCAGGCAGCACCATCTGTAAATGTTATTTTTGTGGGGGATTTCATTAAAAACTATTCTTTTAAAAACTATTCTTTTTTTTTTTTTTTTTTATTTAAAATTTCAAAGGCCCATTTAGAAAGAAAGCTGTTTACTTGATTCCTGAATGAAAAAATAAAATTGATCAAATCGAATGAATTAAGTGACTTTATTTAGAGTATTATTGGGGATAATTTTCCCAAAAATGAAAATTCGGTTTATTTACCGAATCAAACCTGTATAACTTTCTTTTAATATCTCATTGTAGCCTAAAAGTGTATGTTTAATAAATTCTGTTGAATCAAATAAAATACAGTATTTCTTTCTAAAACTTTGGTGCTTTTCTCATTTAACACAATGACTTTAAATGATCTTTTGGAGGTCATTTGTCTGCCAAATTTGATTTAGATTAATGAATCTGCACCTTATGTAATTAATTAGATTAAAAAAAATTCCACAAAGTATTAAAATACAAAATCCTAAGAAGAAACATTTAATTGATGAAAAAACATACAATGGGTTCAGTCACACAGAAAATTATAGGAATGTCAATTTACTTTTTTATTGTAAATCTGTATGTGTGTGTGCGTGCTCGTTTCAGGTTTATTGTGTGTGTGAGGTTTTTTTTTCAGATACATTTACGTTTTTCTATATTTTTCTGTTTTTAGATTCACATTCACACTAAAATCTGGGAAGACGACAAACCCCATAAAGAGGACCGCTTGGTTTGCTGTGACCCACAGACGAAGAGGCATCCTGCTGCACCTGAACTGAGCATCTCTATCCACTCCACCCTTAATGCTTTATTCATGATGTCGGAACAGACGCAATGCAGTGATGACCCACAGTGATTAGAAGGTCAATCATTATGCACTGGATTCAAATCTCAGCAGATCGGAAGAGTATAGAAGCTTGTAGAAACATCTAGAACAGTGGTTCTTAACCATTTTGTCATGACACTTGACATTACTAAGACAGCACAACCTGTCATAAACATGACAATTATCAAACTTAAGAAACCACCTAGCTTTATGGGTTAACATTACATTAAACTGTCATGTGGATGGTTTTGACATTGGCTGTCATGAAGCCATTTTAACTTTTTAATGACAAATTCAATTAGTACCACTGTAGTTGAGGTCACGAAAAATATTCATTCACACAGTTATAATGGCCTCATGACAGCCAATGTCAAAGCCAACCACATGACGGTTAATTTAAACTTAATTTAATGTCAAGTTGTCATGACAAAGACACTGACAGGTTATGATGTATCGCTTTATGTCAAGATGTCATAACAAAGACATCTTAAACAATGTCATATTTGCATTCAAGATGTTATTATTGAGCGAAAGACATTTAATGACAGTTGTCATAAACATGCATAAACCCTATTTCATACTCAAGACATACGTCATGTCAGTCATGGTTATGAAGGCGTCATGTCAGTCTTACCCCTTCAAGTAAAGTGTTACCATTCTTTCTTTGTCCTTAATCAATAACTGAATATGAAAGAACAGAGATAACCATTTAAATACCAAAAGATAATTGATATGTGAGAAATGTTGAGTAATGTTTGTGTTTCCAGAACGAATACATCAGAGCAAAACCAAACCAGCACTGACATCAAAAGATGGAGGCCTTGTGCTCATTTGAGCGATGTTTTCCAAATAGCTACACGTGATTGGCCTATGGGCAGGTGATCCAGCCACTGACGAGATGCCATCCAAGGTGTCATGCCTGTATTTGCTGACTGTGGTTTGCTGGGCCAGCGCTCTGTGGTATCTCAGCGGCTCCCGGCCCTCAACCGCCTACGTGGGTCAGATGAGCTTCGCCCGCAAACCGCTCCCACGGTTCTCGAAGAACGACACGTTCAGCAATATCCGCACCCGTACTCTGAACCCACACAATTTCAAGTTCCTCATCAATGAGCCCAAAAAATGTGAAGGCACAACACCCTTTCTTGTCCTCCTCATCAGCACCAACCACAAGGAGTTTGACGCCCGGCAGGCCATCCGGGAGACGTGGGGAGATGAGAACATATTCGGCGACGTTCGCATTGTGACGCTGTTTCTTCTCGGGTTCAGCACTGAACCTGTGCTCAACCAGATGGTGGAACAAGAGAGCCAGATCTTCCATGACATCCTAGTCGAGGACTTTGTGGATTCCTACCACAATTTGACCCTGAAGACTCTTATGGGGATGCGGTGGGTGTCCTCATTCTGCCCAAATGCACAGTACGTCATGAAAACCGACAGTGATATATATGTCAACATGGACAACTTGGTGTTTAACCTGCTGAAACCCAACACCAAACCAAGGCACCGCTTTTTCACGGGCCGCGTGATCAACGGAGGGCCCATACGTGATGTTCACAGCAAGTGGTTCATGTCTAGAGAGCTCTACCCTGAAAGCAGGTACCCTGCTTTTTGCTCTGGGACTGGATACGTGTTCTCCGGAGACATGGCGGAGCTGCTCTATAAGACCTCCCTACATACGAGACTCCTACATCTTGAGGATGTGTACGTGGGAGTGTGCCTACGGAAGCTAGGCATTCAGCCCTTCCAGAACAATGGATTCAATCACTGGAAAATGACCTATAGTCTATGCCGCTACCGAAAAGTGTTGACTGTACATCAGATTTCACCAGAGGAGATACTGAGAATATGGAACGATATGTCCAACAAGAAACATCTCAAATGCTAACAAATCGTTTAGGAATATGTTGATAAAACCTGAGCCAATGTGTGATCCTGGGAACATGGTTATTTAGTGGTGTTTACAGGACTTTTTAGGGCTTTTCACATTTGAAATAGTTAATCATGGTTTGTTCGTGGGTCAACAGAATCCTGGGTTATCTTGATTCACGGGGATTCATAAGCTGATGTTTCACACTGTACATAGACCTTATTCAGATGACCATGACCCGTCTGAAAGCTTGGCTGTGAGGGATAGGCTTAACGTGTTTTCAATTGCATGTGCTGTAAAAAGCTTTAGAGCTGCTAGCTCACTTATAATTTTCCACAACTCAGTATCAGTTTTTTGTCTACTGAAAGTTCTTGGACTGATATTTTTGCAGTGTTTCGTTAGCAGAGGTCAAGGTAACCTTAACCTTGACCAGAACAATCCAAAAACACATTAAAGGGATAGTTCACTTTGAAATTAATTTTTGATATGTTTTAGCTTACCTCAAAGGCATCCAAGATGTAGGCGTCTTTGTTTCCGCAGTATTTTCAATTGTGATATTTTTAGGTCAAACCGTTCTTGTCTGTCAGTCATATAATGGAGGTCTATGGGGTCCACCTCAAAGAGCATGCACAGAGAAGTCCAAATTAAACATGATTCAATGACTCATAAATGTAAGTACACATTGATGGCCTAAGACACGAAACAAGTGGTTTGTGTGAGAAAATGAACAGTATTTATATAGTTTTGACCTCTTATAACCACAGTCACAAAGCTCCCTCAGATCACTTGGACGTGAGCTGTGGTTACATGAGGTAAAATCTATATAAATACTGTTAGTTTTCTCATACAAACCGCTCGTTTCGTGTCTTAGGCCATCAATGTGTACTTACATTTACAAGTCATTAAATCATGTTTAATTTGGACTTCTCTGTGCATGCTCTTTGAGGTGGACCCCATAGACCTCCATTATATGACTGACAGACAAGAACGGTTTGACCTAAAAATATCACAATTGAAAATACTGCGGAAACAAAGACGCCTACATCTTGGATGCCTTTGAGGTAAGCTAAAACATAACAAAAATTAATTTCAAAGTGAACTATCCCTTTAAATAACAGTTCAAGCCACTGAATAGATGAATGTCTGTCCCTCACAGCCTCACTTTCGTTCCCGTTACAAATCAAACATGGCTCTGCTTTGAATAAGGTCAGTGTCAGCGTCATTGATTGGACGATAGCACGCTGAAACATAGCTTACAGTTTATACAACATGTCATGCGGTGTTTCTGTGACTACAAATCACTTGAATATGAGGCACGCAATTGGCTGTTTGTTACTAAACCTCTAGCCATAACTTTCTATCACTCTTTCATTTCAAAATGTGCACCGTAATGGACACTGCAAAAGCGGTGCTAACCCTGGCTTGCTCTGGACCAGGGTTTCATAAGCACGGGTAAAAAGTGGTAGGCCTATTTATCTCGCTTCTAAATTACAAGTGTGAAATGTCCCTTTAAACCGGGGTTAAAAGCGGGCTTTAGAATGAGGATAACCCGGGGATAACTGCATTGTGAAAAGCCCTTTATGACCCTTCAGGTTTGATAAAGCAATACAGTCTGTATCCTCATGAAGCTGATGTCAGTCTGTAGGGTTGGGTCAAACTGAGGTATTTGCAATGGTTATAATGATTTTGTTTGCATATTTACAAACATTATTTATATACCAGGCTGCTGTGAATTGCTTTATAATAGTACCAACTTTCAAATGAACAGTATTATATGAGAATTTACCATTCCAAATGTCTGTCATAAACTACATTTATTCTGTATATCCCTCTCAAAATGAATGATATCGATAGATTAACCTACAAGAATGCATATTTATGTGTATTAAAGCCTTTGCAAAGCAGTAGAGCTCAGTTCTATAACTGTGAGTAAAGAAAAGTTATTTTCCTTTTGATTAGGTTATAATGAAATTATGATGCAAAAATAGAAAGTATATACATGCAGTTTAGTTTTTTTAAAGGGGGTGTGTTATTTTTAGCATGATTTTTACCACTCATTTTAAATAGTGTATTTTTATTTGTGTTGTTTTTTTGTAATATTAGTTTCTTTTATTTATATTTATTTTTGTATTTTGTCCCCTAAGGTTTTGCACCAAATTATATCATAACTATTTTCCAACTTCTCTTTTATCCTTATAATTTATAAGTTGAGAACGTTACTTTACGTTTTAATGGTAAAATAAACATTTTATTTAAAATAAATGAACATTTAATTACTCATGATGACCGCTTTACATAAGCAATACAAAAAAAATCTGACTGAATTTGAGAATCTGAGCAGCAGGCTTAAACTAGTCATCCAAGCATACAGTAACCCTATATAATATCACTGGGCCAAAAATGTGAACTTTTCATTTTTATAAGTAGTATGTATTTTTGACAACCATCTTGAGTGATTGTGTGCTGCATAACTGTATATCTAACCATATGATTGTACTGCTGGTGGATGAACGAAACAGGATGGGGATGAAAACTTCAAACTGTCTTGTATTGTGATGATGTAACTGCAATACTAGTGACAAATATCATATATAAGGCCATGCTGGGACCATGCACTTTATTTTGTATCTAAAAACTCATGGACAGGCTTGTTTTACACTGCTAACTGTATATTTAATAAACATATCCACTTTTTCTAAAATTAAAGTGTCAAACTCTGCAGGACAGCAGCTCTCTAAGACCTACCCCTGTCCTTTGTCAACAGTCTGTTCAACATCACTGACACATTTTGGCCATGAAATGCCAAATCAGCAGAACCAGGAACAACATTCCAATCAACCAATCAGATTTGAGGGACAAGTTTATGAGTTCAAGTTTAGGCTTACAACCAGGGTTAGGTGCTTCTACATCAGTGTTATCCAACTTTCCCTCTGATTTTAGGGATAACTTGTGGGTAGGGTTAGGTTAAGGGGTACGGATAGGGTTAGGAATACATTTTCAGGCAGTAATGTTGTTAAATATGACATAAGAACGCGTCTAACTCGGCAAAATCAGGACGTGCACCAAATCAACCTTGTGCTGTACAAACTGATAAATCCATTTATCCATTCCGCCAGATCTATCAATCCAACCAAACTGCCAGAGAGCAATGTTAAATAATCTGATCTAATAAGCAAATGCTGTTAGAAAATGTTGCCAGAATGTTACCAATGTAAGGGTGCTTACTGTATTCATTATTGTAAACTGGCTTCTAGCTTCCACCATTAAAAAAATGTAAGGTTATTTTAAAGAAAACAAGCCTTAAGTCATTTTTCATGACCCTTTTAGTACAAAATTAAAAAGGTTTTACATGCATGATCATAGACGCATTGTTGTTCTCTGGTGCAATAAAAAGACAATGTTGATATCATTAATCCTGATTCAAATAGACAGCAGACAACTTAAAAAAGGGTAAAATTGGTGGTAGACAGCTTACACAATTGCGGTGAGTGATTCACCTAATTTGAACCTTTTCCGAAATATGCATGGGGAAAGCTTCCATGCTAAATTCCTGCTATCAAACAACAGTAATTGCAGCAACAGTATCATAAATCTATAGTTGTAAAATTATATAAAAATTGTACATTTTTTAATTTATATGACATTCTATGATAAAAATATTTCCGGCAAACTGTCATCTGATGAAGTCTAGTCTTGGCTAGTTGCTTTACACAATGTTCCTTCCCCAGGTGCTGTGTGCTTGTGTTGTGGAGGAGTGGGAGGAGTTTGATTTCAGGGAGGAGGAGCCTGAGCGTCTGTCCAAACTTCGGCGGAATGAAAGAGGGCTACAGCGACGGTTTTCCAGTCCTACGTGGGTGCTGACCTGAGATGGACTCAGACTGAACTTATGTCTCTGAGCTCTGGACTCGTACTCCTCCACTGATGTTTTCTTGTAGCTAAAAGAGAGAAAGTGTCATGGGAAGGCTAATAGGAATGATGGAGAGCTCTGTTCCAAAACCTCAATATTACCCTCCATTCTAACCGAAATGGAACATAATAAGTTTGAATTATCATTCATCATGTGAAGTGCACAGTTATATATACAAGTTACTTATATTAAGACTTCTGTTTGATTAGCTGCTATAGGTTATAAAGAGTAACAAAGTCCAGTAAATGGTGAAACTATTTGCACAAGTGTTTATGAATAAGCTAATAAATTAGAATAATACGATAACAAATTACATTTCGTAACTTCGACCAGCATTACAGACAGTTAAAGTACAGTACAAATTCCAGTACTAAAGTAACTGGAATTGGCAGACACTGGAAGTCTTGCACATTTAAGTTAAAAATGGCTGTCTCCTTTTAAAATGTGGTGATAAAAAGAAATGTGTTTAATTAATTACTGTAATTTCAAGATGACAATATGTGACGTTCCACTCAAAGTTGTTTTTACGCTTTTACAAGTTGGAATCTCATAATTACGGCACGACATGGCATGAACACACAAAGTTCCTGAAAATTAAGCCAAATTTCGATCGCCCACTGGTGGCTGGCTGCAATATAAGTCATAAATCCCGCCATCTCCATCCTAGATAGCAAACTGACATTGAATCAACGTGGAAACATGACATCGAAACAACGTTGATCTGACATTGTTTTGCTCATCGAATTAACGTTGAACCAACGTCAGACGCGTCATTCTTTCAAAACTAACGGAAAATCAACTTGAAATCAACGTTGTTTCAATGTTATGAAAGCAAACCAATTTTCGATTTTCATTTAGCTTTGAAGAATGCCGCGTCTGACGTTGGTTCAACGTTAATTCGATGAGCAAAATCAACGTTGTTTCGATGTCATGAGAGACGTCGTTTCCATGTTGATTCAATGTCTGTTTGCTGTCTGGGATGTAATCGAATGGTACGGAAGCCCTGAAACGCAAGGTGAGAAAAAAATAAATAAAATAGAAATAAAAACTTAAGTTGTTATTTCGACTTAATATCTCATTATTACGACATGATATCTTGGTATTTCGACTTAATAAGTCATTATTACGACACAATATCTTGTTATAACGACATAATATCTCATTATTTCGACTTAATAAGGGGCTCATTCTAATATGCATTAAGCTACATTTAGCGTTCTTATAATGAGTTTCTATGGGAGGAAAATGTTAAACGTCAAATGAAACGCTTTGCGTTCATATTCTGGACT